CTTAATAAACTTTGTTATGCCAATTGACCTAGATGTCTCCTGAAATCATGGTCTCCAGACCCCCACCACTGCTACTCTGTCTCTCGTTGTGTTTGGTTGTATTTAGGAAACTTCTTAGCTTCGGTTTAGTCCAGTGGTGCTGACTTCCTCTGTAGTGTGTGCTGTCCTTCCCTTCACCTAAGATAATTCTTATCTAGTTAGCGAATAACCCTCTCCCTCCCTCCCCACCCTCGTAACCATCAAAGAATGTTTTCTTCTGTGTTTAAACCCTTTCTTGACTTCTTATAATAGTGGTCTTATACAATATTTGTCCTTTTGTGACTGACTAAATTCACTCAGCATAATGCCTTCCAGATTCCTCCATGTTATCTTTCACGGATTCATTGTTGTTCTTTATCGTTGCATAGTATTCCATTGTGTGAATATACCATAATTTCTTTATCCAAATATCTGTTGATGGGCACCTAGGTTGTTTCCATCTTTTTGCTATCATGAACAGTGCTGCAATGAACATGGGTGTGCATATATCTATTCGTGTGATGGCTCTTATTTCTCTAGGATATAGTCCAAGGAGCGGGATTGCTAGATCGTATGGTAATTCTATTTCTAGCTTTTTAAGGATCCACAGGGTTTTCTTGGCTGTGATCTCTATGAAAGCAGATCGCCAGGCCTTCCGCAGAGGTTGAACCACCAACCTTTAAGTTTGTAGTTTAGTGCAAACCATTTGCATCACACAGGGATGCTATTCTAAATAAGACAAAGCACATAAAACATGTACCACAGTGCCTGGCACAGCTCAAGTACTCAATAAGTGTTAGCTGTTATTATGAGGTGCTTGATAACTATTTCCTGGATAAATTAATTATGAATACCCTCCACAAGCCTCAGCATATTCCAATGGCAGGCCACTAACCAGAGCCTAGCCTATCACTTCAGCTTCCTCTTTCACCCTGGACAAAGAACAAATTGAGCACCCTTCCAAAAACCCAGGGGATGGTGTGCATCCCACGGCCCTCTAGGGCTCTGTGTGTGCTTACACTTGAGTACTGAATGGGGTACATGTTGTATTGGAAAGAACACCGGAAATCAGGAAACAGGTTCCATACTAAGTCTGCCACTAACCAGCCATGTGACCTCAAAGCCACTTTTTTTTTTTTTTTTGGTAGCAGTATACACAACCAAACATACATCCATTTCACAATTTCTACATGTACAATTCAATGACATTGGTTACATTCTTCACATTGTGTCCCCATTCTCACTATCTCTACCTGCACTGTTTCATCACCATTAATTTAAACTCTCTGCCCCTTAAAGTTCTCATCCGTGCTTTAGATTAACTGTTGTCAATTTGAACCATACAGATACTTGTTTATAAAAGCACAATTCTAAAGCAAACATTCTTTATTAATTGAGTTGAACTGTTCTTTAGTTTAACGATAACTTCATGGGATCATTTTGGTTCAAGGTTTAAAGATTTCCAGGCAATAGATTCGGGGGTTCCCCCCGTCTCAACGGATCCAGTAAGTCTGGTTCCATATGAATTTGAAGTTCTGTTCCACAATTTTTCTTGTTCTTGATCAGGGTCTATCTACTGGGAGCTTGTTCAAAACATCAAAGCCATTTCTTTGAGCCTTGGTTTCCTGGTTTGTAAGATAAAGCAGTGAGATGACATGGTGTTTTCTGTCCCTTCCTGCTCTGACATTCAGCAAATTTAGCCAGCACTGTGTGGGCACATGTCCATGAGGGCTCCTTGCCAGGTTTCAGGAACTGGCCGGAAAGCTGCAAAACCCCTACCTAGACCTATTTCACAAGACCTAGACCTTCAGGCCCTACACCCTCCAACCCTACACACCCTCTCTCACAACCACTTCTAGGAGTCAGCTGGATAACCCATACCAATATGCCAAAACAACTACTGCCAACATTTATTGAGCACTTACTGTATGCCAGACACTGTGATAAGCACTTTATATGGATTATTACAATCCTCTTGACAGTTCTGTCAGGCTGGAGCTATTATTATTTTACAAGACAGGAACCTGAGACTTGGAGGCTTTACAGGTGAGGAACCCAATTTTACATGTAAGGAATCTGAGGGTTGGAAAAGTTAAGCAACTTGCTCGAAGTTGCATAGCTAAGAAGCGGCAGATGTGAGATTCTAACCTACATTGTCTGACTGTAATTATTCTCATAAAATGCAAAGTTTTATTATATTCTGTATCAAGTGAGGGTCAAAGCAGAAACGGAGGAGTATGGAAAGGATGGTCCTAGGAAGAGCCATACCACAGAATGCCCCAGGTAGAGAACAGGATACAAGATGGGAATGGGGGAGGTGTGGGGAAGGATAGCTAATGTCCTGCCTTCTCACCCCCTCAGCCCCCTCAGGTGACCAGGTAGCGGTACTGCCAGATAGAGACTTGGCCATGAGGAGCCTTCCATACTCAAAAAACCAGGATTCTGTAGCCCAAAACCTCTCCTGATGCTTGAAGTCTCTTTCCCTTGCCCACATAGTCCTCCTGATATGCTGGAGGCTTCCCCATATGGATGGAAACACGAGCAACACCAAGGGCATGGGGACCACTCTGGCCCAGGCAAGCAGCTTCCTTCTTTCTCTCAGCTGCACACGTATGAGGGTAGAGAAATAGTGTCAGCAGTGGGTAACAGGACATAGGACTTAACCTTCCCAGCACCAATATGCCAACAGTGAACATCATAGACTCTCCAAGTCTCTGAGGAAGATGAAAATTCCTTCCCCACACCCAGCTTTGGCCAAGGACAAAATGGCAGAGGGGAGAACTCACAGGCACTTCAGGTTTTTGTGCCCAGATTGCTCCTGCTGTCCCTGCCCACTTCTCCCAATTTTTTTCCCTCAGGAGGTAGTCTCTTTCTCCTTTCTTCAAATCCCCACCACCACCCCCGCTCCCTGCCACCTTATCTCTGATTCCAGCTGCCCACAAAGCCCCAGGGAGAAAACCTTCCCAAAAAGGCAATAATGGATAGACCAAGGCAGATGTTGAAGGAAAGAGCAGAGAAAGGGGAAAGACAAGGAAACTGAATGGGAATAGTAAGGCCATTGTGTATCCCAGGCTGCATCGGCGGAGGAAGAGAATTTTTTTTTTTTGCCGGGGGGTGGTTCTTGACCCCCATTTTCTAACATGACAGCCCTTATCAGAAGAGGGTTCCAAGTGCTAGGCCCTGCTGACAGTCCTTATAGTTTGTTATGAATTTCCTTAGAAATATAAACACTGAGAAACAAAAATTGCCTCCCTCCCTCCCTCCCTTTGTGGTCACTGACATCACAGGTCAGGAACATACCAGGACAGCTTCTCAGCCAAGCTCTCGCTGAGAGCCTCCTGTCCCCGGAAGGATACCAAGGTAGTGACCTCAACACACTTGGACAACATTCGCTTCTTAATATCCCAGAACGAGGAGGTAAAAGGAATGTCTCCAGGTTACTCAGGGAGAAAAGTGGAAGGGGAGAAATATTAAAGTCCCAGTTCCCAGTGAAATGGGATGTTGCACAAAAAGGACAAAAATAACCAAGACCCAAGGAAGATCCCAAGCACAGAGGCTGAAGGTTCCAGCCCACATGCTCTGTGAGCTTGCCAAGCTACCTCCCTTTCCTGGGAGAATGACACATGCTGTTAGCACCACTCTCCAGGACCCTCATTTTGGAAACAGGGAAAGTACAGCATGAATAAAAGTCATTGTCCTACAAACTTCACAGGGTTGGTCAGAGGATAAAATAATACTGTGAGTGTGAAATGCTTTCAAAATATATAAATTTCAATATAATTAAAATATACTCAAATCTTTTTTGATAAGAGATAAATAAATGCAAATGTGACTTTTTTCTGTTGTTGTCAGGTGCTGTCAAGTCAATTCTGACTCATAGCGACCCCATGTGACACAGCAGAACTGCCCCAAAGTGTTTTCTTGGCTGTAATCTTTATGGAAGCAGATTGCCAGGTCTTTCTCCTAAGCCACTGGGTGGGTTCAAACCTCCAAGCTTTCGGTTAGCAGCCAAGTACTTAACCACTGCACCACTAGGGCTCATGGACTTTTCTACTATCACTATTAGAACTACTAATATTATTGCATGCTTCTTTCTTGAAAGACAAGGGTCAATATGCCCTGGATTTTTTTGTTGTTGGTTGTTTGTTTGTCTTTTCCCAGAGAACTACCGAAACACCTCCAACCCAAATAAATCAACGTCATCTTGATTGACACACCTGGTGAAGAAGAGAACTCACTTGAATATTCAGAGAAGTGTGGAGGGGACAGAAAGAGGGAGGAGAGGAAGAGGAAAGCATTTCAGAGTTTAGAGTTACTGGTATTCGCACCTCATTATTTACATGGGGAGGAGCACTTTTAATATACTTTTTTTTAACAATAACAACTTGGAGCAAAATGCCTGGAATACTCTCAAGATGGACATTTACCTGTTAGATCTGGAAAAATAAGTATAAGAGAATTTTTTTTTAATTACGTGAGTGGCTAAAATGGAATGTCAATAGTCAACTCCTCATCTTTTCCCTGTATTGACAGAAAAGAAAATGAGAAATAAGTCCTATTGGAGTCTTCCTCCACGTTGCTAGCCCCAAACTCACTCTTCCTTTTCCATTCTTGGGTATCAGGCTGGGTATGAGCTGGTCCACCTTCCAGTGTACTCTCAGGCCTATATAAGAATTCTTATTATTTCCCTCCACCTTAGGATTGCCAAATTTAGCAAATATTTGGGACATATTTACTCTAAAAAATATTTCTTATTTAATTCAAGGTTAACAGGGTGTCCTGTGTTTTATCTGGCAACCTTACTCCACTTCTACCCACCCTGACCCGATGATCATCCCCTGCCAAACTTGCTATCGTAAGAACCCATTCTGACGCAGGAGGTCCAGGATGAGTCCTGGGAAACTTTATTTTTAACAAGTACCCCAGAAGAGTCTTACTACCAGAGTTTGGGAGGTTCTAGATTCCAGCATGGCAACACCGAGGCCAAGACCACAAGTTAAATCTCTATATGAAGCAGGCCTCTTTGTTAGATTCACAGCCCAGACACAGCACACCACCAAACCACCCCAACCTATGTCAGCATTGAAACTCTCCAAGAACACACCCTACACAGATGAGCCCAAAACTCCATTTACAACCACGTTGGCTAGGTTTTCCTATTACCCAGCCAAGTAATCGCTACACACACCCAGGGCTGCAGTCCTCTAGCTACCAAGGGAAAGCTAAGCCCAACCAGTTGTTTTTCAAGGCACTGCCAGCCCCGCCTAAAACAGCCGAGGCAGTAGCACAGGGGGGGTCTCCAAGGTCAATTATTCAACAAATCCCATACAAAACGGCCCAGACCTTCACCTTCTGTTTTTTAAGTGAACGGTTGAGGCACTTTCAGCAGCTAAACTCAGCCTGTACCCGGGAAGCCCAGCTACCCTCAGAAAAAGCACAGCAGTCTGTTCAGGTCACAGCCCAGGATTCCCACACCCATTCCTCCCTGGTTGACACATTTTGCCCCACACTCGGCTCTCCCGCCCTCCTTCCTCTCCCTTCCTCTCTCTTGCTTAGTGACAGTTGTCACTCACTAAATCCTTGACCTCCCCTACTTACATAATTATATTCCATTCTCCCAGAGAATATCTCATTGGATTTTCCACCTCCCCACAGTTTTATTTGGTCCTAGCTACACCCATGTCCTCTCTGACCCCAACCCATCCCTAGGCTGGTCCTACACCTCATGCTTTGATCTTACCTGGCAACTTCCTGTCTGCTCTCACCTAGCCTGCCTCAGGGGACAAGATTCACCGTGGTCACCCACAAATAGTCTACATTGGCATCACAAAAATCTGATCACATGACCTAAGGGCTTTGTCTGGTCAGCATACCTGGTTTCTCTCTATGCAGGTCAAGCAGGTGTAAAATGGGGGTTGGGGGAAGAAGAGGGCAGACCCTCTAAGAATATGTTTTCTTTTTTCCCAGACTCCTCTGGGCCAGTTGCCTACATTTTCTCTTGCTTTGGGTTGAAAAGGAGGGGAAGAAGGGAGAGCATCCATTGTGTGTTGCTAGGGCTTCTCTTCCCATGCCTCTGCTCCAGCCAGCTTCATATCCTCCAATTCAAATGAGACATCTTCTCCATCCAGCACTCCCTCCTTCTCTCCTATTCCAGGATTCAGTTGCAGAACTGCAACTCCCTTGTAATGGAAGCTTGATAATATTGTAATGGCGACCAAAGGAAGGAAGACAAGGCATATGAGAAGGGAGGAGGCCACATCACGCTTGAACAGCCCAGCTCAGCAGAGAGGGGAGGAGAACCTGGCCAGGGTGGAGGGAAAAGACTCACTCTTTTAGCCTGCCCCTAGCCCCAGAGAATGTTTCATTTGCTAAATGAAATCAGTGTGGCCCAGATGTTGGGCAGCTGCCTCTGGGAGAAGTTCCCATGCAGCTGAGCGCAGAGGCCAAAGCAGCATGTTGAGCTGGCCTCTGCTTTTCTGGCAGGCCTCCTGTCAAGGAATAAACACAGCCTCCCAGCTCCCCCTCCTCTTCCCACCCAGCCCCCCAACCCTCAGCCTGCCAGGGTGGTTGCCTCTTTAGGAAACTCAGTGGGTCAAAAAGAGAAGCAAACAGAGAGAATGAAGGGCCAGGTGGGAGTGGTCATAAAAACTGCAGAGAAGGCAGGGACCTGATGTCATGACAGAGAGGGTGCCTCAGGTAGCTGAGAAACAGCCAGGCCAGGAGCTCAGGTAACCACCTGCCATCGGTCAGGCCAGTGACTCAGCCTCAGACTCTGTAATCACCGGGAGCCTCTCTAGCCACATTCACCCACCAGCTCTTGACAGCTCCAAACTCCCATCCCAGCCACAAACAGCCATTCCCTCAGACACACTCATTCCCTAGGGCCCCAGACACAACAAACCCTCTGCCTAGACACAGCTAACCCTTTCTTGTCACCCTCCCAAACCAGCTGCTGTCGAGTCGATCCCGATTCATGGCAAGCCCCTGTGTGTCAGAGTAGAATCGTGTTCCATAGGGTTTTCAATGGCAGCTTTTTGGAAGTAGAACGCCAGGCCTTTCTTCTGAGATGCCTCTGCATGGACTCAAACCTCCAACCTTTTGCTTAGTAGCCAAGCACATTAACCGTTTGCCACACCCAGGGACTTCGTCACCCTCCCATCCTTACCAAATAGGCCCAGCTCCTTCCCTTATTGACACCTAGGAGAGGGAAGTAAGGAGGAAAAGAAGACAGAGAAAGAAAAAGGTAAAGCTGTGGGGGTCCAAACACCAGAGAGGAATAGAGAAAAGTTCTTCTGACTAAACACTCCCACACAAGCAGCAGATTCCTCTTTTATTTGCCTTTTTAGAATTCTGGGATGTCTGTAGACCAACACCGCCTTCATACCTATGTCCCCCTCCTGCCTCTCCTTTTGAGACTTGAGGCCCTGCTTCTCTGGAATATTCCACCCCAACAAAAAGCAAGTAAAGTGTGGTAAGGTGGCCATGGCTGTAGTGAATTGGCTAGGGGTGTGGTTACACACTAGACGCTGAATGGCATTCTCAGCAACACCCGCAGGGCAGCTTGCTTTGCCATCCCTCAGTGGGAAGGCTTCACCTAGTTTTGCTGAGAAAGCACAGGGGGCTTGTACATTTAGGAGGAAGAGGATATCTCCATGGGTCCACTCTTGCACAAAAGCAGCTAAGTCTGGGTAACAAGAAGGGTCAGGTGTCTGTTGCTTACCTCATCTGAGCACCAGGCACACATGGGACTCACAGCCAAACACTGCTGGCAGGAGCTCACACCTCGGGTGATACAGATATTGGGCCCTGCAACAGAGGGACAAGGGCGTTAGAGCCTGAATCAGCTCATGGAAGTAACTGGCCTGCCCCATCCTTCCCAACTTGCCCAAATGCCCAGATTTGGGCTCTCAGATACACATAAACACACCCTAACCATAGCCATTTACCAAACATAGGCTGGTTGGTAAAGAGAAAGGACAATGAGGAAGCTCAGGAGAACTCATCATCAGTTGATGAGGCCACACTGATGCCAAAGTGATGGAGCAAGGCTGACCACAGACCCAAAGTGTCAGATCAAAACCAATGGAAAGGGTTTACACCGTACATTGTGCAAATGAAAATCTGAGGCCCAAAGAGATAGCAACTTGTCCGTTCTTCAATTATTCTATTGATATATTCACAGCCACTACACAGCGGTCCAAGGTCCAGATGCACTAACATTAGCAGAACCTACATCTGGCAGATGGGGAGAGGGGCCATAGTGGCAATATCAGGTCGGCCTGCCAGGGCAAAGCAAATCTTCTGAAAACTTCTCAAGCTTTCATCCCTTCCCAGTCTATACATTGTGGGATCCAAATGGAGAATGCTCCAGGGAGAAGCACAAAAGTGTTAGAAAAGACTGATTGGTATTTGGAGCCCTGGTGGTACAGTGGTTAAGAGTTCGGCTGCTAACCAAAAGGCTGGCAGTTCAAATCCACCAGCCATTCCTTGGAAACCCTATGAGGCAGTTCTGCTCTATCCTACAGGGTCACTATGAGTCAGAATTGACACGATGGCAATGGATTTTTTTTGTTTTGTTTTGATTGGTGTTTGCTGGAAAAACATGGAATTTTGGAGTTGGAAAGCCTGTGTCTGAATTCTGAATCCTCTTCTTACTAGTTGTGTCGTGACCTTCCACAAGTCACTGAACCTCTATGAAATGATAATATCTATCTAACAGGATTTGGGCAAGAATTCAGTGAGGTAAGGGAACACTGCTTGGAATACTACAAAATGCCATTCAAATGTGAACAGTCCTCATACTGTCAAATGAAACAGAAAAAGCTGAGGGGGGAAGCAGAGACAACTACAGGGGCCAAAACAGCCCTGAGAAGCCCAGCCTGGAAGCAAAAGCCAGAAATTTGCTTCCCTTCGCTCAGCCTTCCTGGCCTCAGCCAGCTAACCCTCCTCTCCCGACACTGTCCCCTCCCCCCCAGTCTTTTCCAATATGTTCTTGTTGTTGTTAGTTCCCCTGAAGTTGATTACAACTCCTGGCGACCCCGTATGTGTAGAGTAGAACTGCTCCATTGGTTTTCAAGGCTGTGACCTTCCAGAAGCAGATCACTAGGCCTGTCTTCTGGTTTCCAATATAAGAAGCAGGAATAAAGAAGACTTGCTCTTCCTCAGGGCCCAGTTACCCTGATAATTTCTTTATCCAATTTTATAAAGGGGCCCGTTTGCCCCCAGCTGGTGAGACCAGTAAATCTATTTTTTGGAGAAATCATCCTGACTATTGGGGTATTTTGCCAGTGTTCCCAAAACTTCTCATCAAGCTGAATGTCTCAGTCCATTTCATTATTTAAAAAAACCCTTTGCCATCAAGTCAACTCTTAGTGATCCTATTGTGTGACTCAACTCCCTCACTCCCCACAAAACACACTCAGAAAATTAGTATATACATACTCACACATATTGTTAAGAAAAATTATCCAAAATTTGAAAATAGGCAAAGGGATTACTGGGTGTACTTTCAATGTAATGCAGGGCATTGATAAGCCCACCATGCTTGGGGATTATCTGATTTTCTAGAAATGTGTTCCTTTGTTTGACTTCTATTGATTAGGATTTTTTTTTAACAACTCTGTAAGAGTTAAGGTTAATTTGTAGAAAGTTAATAACAGTGGAAATGATTCTTGAGAACAGTGCATGGAATTCTCATCGAACAGCATTGCAAATGATTTCTGTCTGGTAGAAAAGGTAATCTCCAAAGGTTCAGGTTTATTGCCTTTGATTAACCAAATCTGAATCTATTAGCTAATTCACTGCGACATTCTTCCAGCTATCCAACTATAAATCTTCCCTTCCTTAAATTCTCTTTTAAGCTAGTCTTAACGTCTTACTGATAGAATTTCTTCAACTCTAATATTCCTGCCATACTATAATTATTTATGTATCTGCCTTAACACCACCACCACCCAATAGATTTTAATTAAGCCCCTTGAGGCCAGCCCTGCCCAGCCCAGCCCCAGTCCTGCTCAAAGGAGATGTTCAACAATTATGCATTGAATCGAATCAAAACGTGTTGAACTAGATCAGTTTTATTTTTTAAGCAACTCAGCTCATTTCTCAAAATTGTGCATAGAATTCCAATATAAAATATGTAAATAGATCATTGTAGAAATTAAACCTTCATTGTTCTCCCAAAAAAAAACAAAAAAAACACTAGACTAGTGTATATGGAAACCTTGAAGCACCTCCTGGAAGCCCCAGGTTTCCTCAGGGTCTTGGGTCTGTCTGACTTCAAAGGCCTTTCCCAACTCTAAATTTCTTCAAGCGAGATTCCATTATCAGCTCATAAGTAACCACTGAAGCTCCACTCTGTGCCTTGACTACGACCTCAAAATGTGAGGGCTATGGGGTGGGAATTATGGCTATGGTTCCACACCTGGTCCCAAAGCATTAAGGCTGCCTCTGAGTTGGGACAGGCCTCAGCCGTTTAATAGCTACAATGGAAAGGTAGCCAGTCTTCCTAGAGCTGCCAAATTCTGAATACCTGAATGTTCAGAACCAACAACAATGCAACCAGGAGGCCTCTCCCTGCAGGGGTTGCCTAGCCATCTCCTGGCCTCACAATCGCTCATTCTTCATCCAGATAATGAGGATAACCTGCTGCTGTGGAGTCAGTTCTGATTCATGGTGGCTCCACGTGCTTCAGAGTAGAACTGCTCCATACGGTTTTCTTGGCTATAATCTTTATGGTAGCAGATCAACAGGCCTTCCTCCACGGCACCACTGGGTGAGTTCAAACCTCCAATCTTTAGGTTAGTAGTCGAGCACAAACTATTTGCACCACCACCCTCCTTTTTGCCTTATCGGAAGAGTTCTGAACTATTTTAGATGTCTGCCTTCCTTTTCGGAATTTCCATGGGAATTGGCATGGGGAGGAGAATTCTGGACATAAAGGCCATCAATTTTCACTAGGGAGAGGAGAAACATACGGTGACCTTGGCAAGAGTTAGAAAGAAGAGGATCATGGGAGGTGTGGGCACTGTCAAATTATTTTTGAAAACTTTTCCCAGTCAATCCTTTTATCCATCCATTCATTCTCAAATTAGCATTTCCCTATGAGTCCCTGACTTGTAGCCACAAAAGAAAGCCTTGCCAAATATGAAATAAATAACAGCAGGCCCCCTTCTAGTAAACAGGCAGTCCCTAACCCCAGAGGATGTGCTGAGCTGCTGGGATTTGTTTTTTAGGAAGTCATACCTGGGGAGTCATGGTTACCCAGTTACCCTTACCCTGACTTTTTAATGAATCACAGGTTGATGTTCTGAGAACCAATGATCCTCTAGGATGCCCCCCACCAAGTCCTGCCACCAAAGCCAAGTTCCCTGGAATGCAGAGGCTGAAAGCATCTGACTCATCAGAAGTCTTGGTGCCTGGGCCATGATGATTCAATGAGCTGCTGCTCTGAGGTTGCCCCTCCCTTCAGAACATCTGGAAAGCATCTGGGCCTTTGTTTTCAGCCATTCATAAGGCCTGCTCAGCCTCAGAAGCTCAGACGCAGCCCTACCAGAAAAGGGGGAATCTTCACCAGTTTCACTGATTAGAATTAACAACTCCTACCACCCCTTTCCTCTGACAATTTAGCCAGAGCAAAGACACCAGGTGGGCTGGCCCTCGTTCGCTACATCATAGGATAGTTGTAAGGACAGAAAAAACTAACCTCTCTAAAAGGAACCCTGATAGTGCTAACCAAAAGGTTAGTGGTTTGAACCCATCCTGCGGCTCCACAGGAAAAGATGGCACCGAACAACAACAATCTCTGCAAAACCACAGTGGCTGGCAAACTGGAAGTACTCAATAAACGTTGCTGTTATAGTTGTTGCTGTTGTTATCTTGAGTCCCAAGCTGGTTTAAGGTAGGTGAATGTACTTTTTTTATTTTCTTTGAAGGCATCATTCTACAGGACACTATACACGCAGCTGAGTATGCCCTAAACAAGGAAATGGTGGGGGGTGGAGAAAAAAAGCATCAAGCTAGGGCAAAATGATCGATTTTCAGATCTGGCTTCTAAACAGAGTTAGGAATATTAGCATTCAAAAATCCAGTCTCAGAAGGATGGCCAGGAAGAGAAGGCCAATGAGATGGGATAGACAAGAGAAGCCAAGAAGTTTGCCTGGAAAGTAGAAGTAGAGGCTGTGGTTTGGCACCTCAGCCTGACTCACAGGACGAGGAGAGAGACAAAGGGTGAGAAAAATGGAGAAAAAAGGAAGGGAGTTGAACTGTTGGAAGTCATAATGCGTCAGTGAGGGCTATTTTGAGGGCATATTGTCCCATGAAACAGGATGTCAGAATGCAAGAACAGGCCACCCTAATGTAGCCAGGGGACTTTGGCAGAGGCCTAAGCCAGAGCTGGAAGGGAGGGTGATCTGTATAGCAAACACTATAGACATCTCTCTTATGCTGTCTGCCAGAGAGGAGCCTGGGTCCCTAGCCCTGCCGCTGACCTTTGACTGGTCACTTCCCAATTGGTCCATGGGGACACTGGGTGACTCAGATGCGTGATCTTCCGTTGCACTCACCTGGCTGGGTGAGGCATCCAAGAGCAAAATATCTCATGCTAACTGGCCTATGAATACACAAGGGGTTTCTCTAGAGCAAGTTACTGAAAAAGCTTGTTTTACTTTTGTTCCTTCACTACACATAGCAACAGCTCAGTAACCCAAGGAAGGGGAAGGAGGCAGGAAGGTGAGGTTCAGGGTAATACACACCTCTGTGCTCTGAGCAGAAAGTTCTAGTAGGCATCATCCAAACTACCATATTTC